GGGGGGGGGGGGGTGTTCCTCATGCGATGCGGGAGCAAAGTTGATAGGTCAGGTTCTCTTGATCGACCGAGAAGTTTCCATCCTTTCCCTGGCAGGATCCAGCTGCGAACTTGCAGAAGGTCCTCAACCTGCTAATGCTGGCTGCCAAGTCTGCCAAGTCGTGCATGGGCGAGTTGCACGTGCTACGTTTGTACGTGTTCTTCAGTGCTGGTGTGCTGCACTGGCTGATCAGGTGATGCGTGAACGGTGTGAACGTGTTAGAAGTAGCGCATAGAAGCAACGCGTCTCATTCAGAAATTCAGAACAGAACACTGAAAGCTGACTCACGGCATGCTGTTCAAAGCCGAGAACTGGATCAGCCTTTGTGTTTGAAACTTTGCAAGGAACGAGAACATGAAGAACTTCTATGCCGCGACCTCAGCTGATCCAGAAGCTCCCAGCTTAGACTCAACCAAACTCAAACCCCAAGCGAGCCCTCCACCCTAAAGCTCTAAACTCTCCTTTCAAGCGCAACCCTAAACCCTAAACCCTAAAAACACCTCTAATCCTGGGAGCCGACCACACCCTTCACTTCTATGCCCATGCTCCGGAAACTCAGCTGATGCCACGAACGAGGCCGAACTGTTGAAAGGGCCGCCTTCGGACATGGTGTGCCGAATCGTACTGCTGGCCTCCTCCAAGGAGGACCTCGGATTCGGTGTGGTGGTGAGGGTTGAGGTTTAGGGCCTCAGGTTTCAGGTTTTGGGTTTAGGATTTAGGGCATGGTGGGGGTTTTGATTCACAGACTCGCCACTACTATAACGCTAGCAGTGTCCCAGTCATTTCATCATGTGTGGCCCCGACGACCCCGCGCCCCTCCCCCCGGCTGCCAGGGCAGCAGCGTCGTCCTGAAAGATTGGCTAGCAAAGGTTCTGCGCGGAACTCGGATCCTGCTGTGAAGCTTGCCATCATGGTTGTGATTTTCAAATCATCCCTTCGGATTTTAGGGCAGCACAAACCGTAAACGTCTCTGAAATCTGCTTGGACCCCCCACCTATCTATCAGGTTTGGACGACATTCCCAGAGAGTTACTTAAACTCCAACCTGTTCGCTGGTTTCCCAGATATGTCATTGCCATCCGTTGTTTTCGTGCGAGGGCCTCGAGCAAAGGAAAGGACACTGTAGAATGATCCATCAAGGGAAGCGACATTGCCGCATGGGTAGTTCTCTAAATTAGGGTCACTTTTGGGGTCCTTGTTATAAGGGGTGGCGTACTATATTGGGGACCCAAAAAGAGAACTACCCTCATATTTCTGTTGTCTCTTGTGGGACCCGGGAATGAGAATCGCGAACTCCTGGATGAGAAGCCGTGTTATATTTCCACAGATGCGAGATCCTTTGCGGAGAAAGGGTATCGGGAAGCCAAAGACGGAAACTGTGAGGAAAGTGTTGGCCCATACACTGACCAGGGCGCCACCTGCGCTGTCGAACCCCTAGACCGTTATCCCAAATCCCTAAACCCTAAACCTGAAAGCCTAAACCTTAATCCTTAAACCCGGACCCTGAACCTTTAATCCGAAAATGCCCCCTAAACCCTAAACCCTAAACCCTAAACCCCAACACCCTCCCATGCTGTTCTAGGGCCGATCATGGCGACCTCGCGGTGACGCCGCTGGTGAACTTCATGCGCATCCGCCTGCAGCCAGGGCCCTGTCTCTGTTTAGGGTTTAGGGTTTAGGGTTTAGGGTCTAGAGTTTAGGGTTTAGGGGGAGGAGTTTCTTTTAGTTGGGCGGTTTGGGGTTTTGGGGGTTCGGGGTAAGGTGGTTAGACTAAACCCCTACGAAGCCCCAAGCCCTGAACGAAAAACCATCTAGTCCCTAAGCTGTAAAACTTTAAACCCCAAGCCCTAAACCCCAAGTCCTAAACTCTAAACCCCAAGCCCTAAACTCTAAACCCCAAGCCCTAAACTCTAAACCCTAAGCCCTAGGGCCTTAAGTGGGTTCGAGATCACTTGTAGTCGAATCGAGGACTCTTGAGGTCCGGCAGCTGCAGACTCCACAACTGTACACCAAAGCCGGCGAACCGACGAAACCTCTGAGAAGGGACGATAGGGTTCAGGGTGTACGGTTTAGGACTTAGGGTTCAGGGGTTTAGGGTTTAGGGGTTTAGGGGTTTAGGGGTTGAGGGTTTAGGGGTTGAGGGTTCAGGGTGTAGGGCTTAGGCTTTAGTTCATTTTGGGGTGTGGGTTTGGCTGTAGGGTGCAGGGTCGAGGGTTATGGTTGGAATAGGTGCCACAACAAGCACTCAAAGCCCCGGTTATCCCACAACAAGCACCAAAAAGCCCCGTGGAATCAGGAGCAGCAGCACACAAAGCCATTCCTCGGCCTCCACCACCTTGGTGGATGCGAAGGATTTGGCTCTGCCGGCAAACCTGGAGGAGGCCTTAAAGCGTGTTTCGGGGACTCCCGGTTTTGAGTGTGTCTAGCCTCTGGCTTCCGAGGGGTTCATCTGTATCTTCCTTGTTAGAATGAACCCCTGTGTTTTTTTACCGATGTTGCTATCATGACTTTCAGCCCCTAAGGACCCTAGTGGGGGTGGACCTGGGAGTGGGCTCGTTTCAGAGAGGCAGCGAAGGATCAAAGCTGGTCGTTTGCAGGGCTCAGGGGTAGGAGCTCAGAGGCCTGTTACGCGTTTTCGGTGTCGCTGTTTAAAGACGAACCCGCCGCTGGCTCAGAACGCCTTCCTGAGGAAGCATGAGTTCGACAGCTGTAAAAATGAGCAGGATATGTGGCTTCGGTACGGGATCTTCATCAAAGCTCAGCACCTCATCGCAGCCCTTGGCCATCTACGTTTCGGACGTCGGCACATGCACAAGGTAGCAGTTTCTTTGGCTGGGCCAAGCCCTCCCGAACCAGAGCAACGAGCCGTAGTCGTTCTGAAATGTAAAACCGGTTCAGGGTTTAGGGTTTAGGCCTGAGTCCGGTCCTCGAAGAAGCAACGCTCTCTCCTTGACGCACATGGGGCAATGGAGCTTGTTTCCCCCATCGATGGTGACTTGGTCGGCAGCAGCTTGAACATTCGAGATATCTACGCACGCGGGTGTACTCTTGCTCAGCGTCCCTTAAGGTCCTCGCGGCAATCGGAGGCCCTAAACCCAAAATCCTATGCTGAATACCATGGCCGGGACCTCTGCTCCTAGTGGAGCTTCCGCACACGTCGTCAGTAGGTGAACACATGTTCAAGAAGCAACCTTCTGTTAATCAAACACCAGAAACCGAGACAATCCTCTAGCCGTTGTGCAGGAGGACCCTCCTGTTCGTTCGATCGTGTGGCTGTGCTCTACACGCGGTGTGAGAGGTGAGCAATCCAGTTTAAAACAGTCCTAACCCCAGACCCCAAACCCAAACTGCCGACTCTAAGCCCTACACCCTCAACCCACGGCTTTTGCTTTGTGATTACAGCATCTCACTTTTCAGTAGGAAGAGCTCTGCCATTCATCCGTCTTGACCATGGCAAGGCTATGTTTGGCTTAAAAAATCAAAGTTTAAACTCGATAACAGTTCCATACTTATACTGGTAGAGAGTACCCCGAAACCTTGTTCTAGTCAGGGTCGAAATCAACCCGCGAGATGGACTCTGCAACATGCGCCCTACTTGGAGGCCCAGGGGACTTAGTAAGTCGGTTATAAGTAGAGTTATAAGTACCCTAAATGGAGTTACCCCAATTATAACCCTACTTATAACCGACTTACTAAGTCCCCTCGGCCTCCAAGTAAACCCGCCACAGGCACCATGCCCCACATTCCCCTGGAGCCGACGGTGAAAAGGGGTCAAAAAAACAGAAACCCTAAACAAAGCCTGCGCCACCTAAACCCCAAACCCGAGACAACAACCCTAAGGCCTACTTGGAGGCCCAGGGGACTTAGTAAGTCGGTTCTAAGTAGGCTTATAATTGGAGTAACTCCATTCAGGGTACTTATAACTCTACTTATTACCTACTTAACTCCATTTAGGGTACTTATACCTCTACTTATAACCTACTTACTAAGTTCCTGGGCCTCCAGGTAAGCCCTCAACCCTCAACCCTAAACCCTAAACCCTAAACCCTAAACCCTAAACCCTCAACCCCAAACCGATGGACTATTGAGGCGAGGCCGTTGTTGTGCTCTCCCCTCGTGCGGCAAAGCCGGCGCTGCCACCAGCCCGTGGGGGAGCCCAGGGAATCAGAGAAGGCGGGGTGTTAGGGTTTGGGGTTGAAGGTTTGGGATTCAGGGTGTTCGGGTTTTGGGAGGTCAGGTGGGCTTAGAGTGTAGGGTATTCGGATTCAGAGAAGGACTCGAGAGGCCGAGATCCTGAACCTTCCAAACCCAAGCCGCATCGCACACGCATCCTCATGATGCTCATGCCAAGGCAAAGGCTGCGATCCAGATGTCATCGGCCGACTAGTGTCTCTCTACCAGGTGCGGGGCGTTGCTTCATTATTACTCTCGGGACTGCAACTAATTTGTGTTGTTGCTCTTCTTGTAGTGGCAGTAACAGTTACGGACAATTACCGTCGTCGTTATCGTAAGGTCGATTCCATTTTAATGCCCCCTCCCTTCTTCCTCCCCCCCGCCCGCGATTGATTCAATCCTCCGGTTTGTCGTCTATTGAGGAGAGGGTGGTATGGCTGGTGGTGGTGGTGTCGGCGGTGGTCAGTGGTGGTAGTAGTAGTGGTGGTGGTGGTGGTGGTGGTGGTGGTAGCTGGTAGTGGTAGTGGTCGTGGTCGTGGTGGTGGTGGTGGTGGTGGTGGTGGTGGTGGTGCTAGTCGTCGTAGTAGTAGTCGTCGTCGCAGTCGTAGTGGTAGTGGTAGTGGTCGTGGTGGTGGTGGTGGTGGTGGTGGTCGTGGGGGT